CGGCGCGCGCTGGACCTGCTGCCTCCAGGCGGAGCTCTCAGGTGAGGGGGCGGGGCGGGCTCAGGCTCCGCCCACCCCACCTGTCAATCAGCTGTCTGGGCTCGCTGAGCAGCATCACCTCTCTATGCCTCAGGCTCCTCAAGGGCGGAATGCGGTTGGTAACAGGCCTCCCTCCTACGGTTTTGTGAGGATTAAATGTGGGGTACGATCCTGTAAGCACCCACTTCGCACCAGGCATCTAGTGGTTCACAGACAGGCATCAGGCCTGCTCTCAGGGTAGACAAGCGAATAACCAGGCACTTGTAACACAGCTTCCTAAGTGCCAAGACGGGGCTTTGGGGACTCCAGAGGACGGGCAGGAGATCAAGGAGGGCTTCCTGGAGGAGGTGCTGCTTAGATGTGACCTGAGAAGAGTAGGAGTGGAGCAGCGAAGCTGGGTTCAGGGATGGGGTATGGAAGGATGTTACAGGCAAGCAGAGGCCTGGACTGGAGGCAGAGAGGGCAGGAAGGTTAAAAGGCTCCGTGTGGCTGGTGCCTAGACCGTGGGAGGCTGGAGAGAGGTGAGGCCACTGCTCTGCTGGGTGAGGGTGGAGGCAGAGGGGCTTGAAGTAGAGGTGGAAGGGGCAGGGCTTGGTGACAGCCTGCCTTGGGGGCTAATGTGGGGGGGGGATGAGAGGGGTTATGGATGATGTCGTGTCCCCTTAGCTGCCGGATGCAGCCACACACACTCGGCCGTCACCCTGGGAGACTGGAGTGACCCGCTGGATCCCGATGCTGAGACGCAGATGGTGTATCGGCAGCTGCTCCTGGGGCGGGACCAGCTCAGGTGGGTGCCCCCCTCCCCATCCCACTGCACCCCCAGGACCAGCTGGGCCAGGTGCCCACTGAGGCCTCCCCTCCTCATCTAGTCATTCATTCCATGCGCATCAGCTGAGGGTGGGGTAGGGGGGTCAAGCTAGAGGTGAGGGTGGGGAAGCACCCTCAGGCGGACCCTCATCCCTGGATCTTAGCATCTTCTAGTACCTGGGGCTCCAGAGACCGTGGCTGTGCCCCTTCCCCTTCCTGGCCTCAGGGCATTGTTATCCAGCGACAGACATTTGTTCTAACTCATTGCAGAGTGGGTGCTGAAGCTGGCCTGCGTGGGTTCAAATCCTGGCCTGGCCACGTGCTGGCTGTGTGGTCTTGGGCAGGTTGCTTACCTTCTCTGTACCTTAGTTTCCTCTTTTGGAAACCAGGGTTAGTAACAGTACCCACCTCATGGGGTTGTCCTGAGGATCAAATGAGCTAATACAGGTAGAGCCCTGTGTAGGTGCCGGGTAGCTTTCGATAAATGGTAACTATCGTGATGCTGTGCAGCCTTAGGCAGGGTATTTACCTCTCTGTGCCTCAGTGACCAAACAGTAAACGGAGGTAATAGGAAGCACTTACCTCAGATCCTTTTTTGTGGTAATTGAATAAGTTAATCCATCGAAGGGCCGAGAACAGTATCTGGGACTCTATAGACCAGTGGTTCTCAACCTTACGGCCCTTTAAATACAGTTCCTCATGTTGTAACCTAAACATAAAATTATTTTCGTTGCTACTTCATAACTGTCACATTGCTACTGTTATGAATCGTCATGTAAATATCTGATATGCAGGATGGTCTTAGGCGACCCCTGTGAAAGGGTCGTTTGACCGCCAAAGGGGTCGCGACCCACAGGTTGAGAACCGCTGCCGTAGACACTGGCTGTGATGAGGATGTGGGTGGTGCTGGTTAGTGACAACCTGAATGTCTCCTGCAACCAGCAGAGAAGCCCTCAGGCAGGGCTCAGCCTTGTCTTTCTCCCTCTCAATTTCTAGGATGAAATTCCTGGAGGATTTCAACATGGATTCAAGTCCGGAGGCAGACATGGAGGACTCCGGTGTCATGGAAGGTAAGGGTCAAGTTAAGGCGGTCCCTTTCCTTGGCCCGCTCTGACACCTCCCACAACCTGCAAGTACATCCCTCACACCTCCAAGGTCCTCTCCTGTATCCACCAGCAGGCCCAAGGCTGTGTGTGTGGGTTCTAGTCCCTTTAAGGATTCTCACGGCACCAGGCAAATCTGGAGCCCGAGAAGGCCACTGGTTGTGGATTCTGGCAGCCTGCCCTGACCTGGCTAAGCCCCTGGGGCCCCCTTGCCTCCCTCCCAGGGGCCTGTCCCGATGCCCTGGCTGGGCAGAGAGAAGCAGCTTCCCGCCTGCTGGAGGTGCTGGAGGACCTGGATCGAGCCCATGAGGAGTTCCAGCAGCAGGAGCAGAGGAAGGCGGTCTCGGGTCCCCGCGGGCCCTGAGGAAATGCTACAGGCAGCCTGGGGGAAGAATGAGGAGCCACTGGGCCCGTCTCCGCGCACCCTGGCCCAGGAGTCTCCTTGCGACTGTCCTGTACCTTCTTCGTCGATGCTGAGGCTTCTGGAGACCTCCCAGTCCCGTGTGCTCTAAGCCCAAAGCCTGGCGCATGGAGGCAGGGGCCAGCCTCCCACGGAAGGAGTCTCACTCTCTGAGTTGACGGGGTTGAGGCAGACTGGAGTGGCTGGGATAAGGAACCTGACTCATTTGGCTCAGCCTGAGGTCTCTGCTTCTTGGGACCGGCCTGTACCCACCCCACTGAGGCTGCTGGATACAGCTGTACCTGAATCCCTCATGCCCATGTGGCCTTGTTGCCCCAGGCAAGCACTAAACGGGCTCAGCCCTTCCTGTTTTCACGTCTGCCAATCACTGTACCCGCACTGATCCTCCTGAGCCGTGCCCTGGGTGGACGGCCCTAACCACAAGCTTCCAGAATCAGGTGCCTGAGGAAGAACAGGCTGGGAGCGCAATGTGCAAGGCCCAGACAGACCCTGGGAGTCTGGGACACCTTCAGCCAGGCTCCTTTCCCCCTTTGAGCCTCAGTTTACCCTGTATAAAACGAGGAGGGAGTGACCTAGAAATAGCCCAGGAACCAGGGAGTTTCTCAGAGTGTGGCCCCAAGCCTCCCCTTCCCCTGGGGTGTCTGCTAGAAATGCAGCTCCCTGGGCTGCGCCGGGATCTTCTGCATCACAACCTGAAGGAGTGTGGGTGGGAGGAGTCAGGATTCTTAACAAGCTGCTCAGGTGACCTGGATGATCATGGGATTTGAGGATCAGGGGGCTGGGCGATTTTACCTATTAGAGTTTGGGGTGAGAGCCTGTTGAGAATGAATCCCAGAGGACAAAATGTTTGGAAACACCCAACGGGCAGACCTGGTAGGGCCTCCAAAGACTCTGGTTTTGTGTGACTATAGGGTGGGACAGAACCTACCTGAATTGGGAGGTGGAGCAGGATGCGGCGCTATCCCATGTGTGGCCAGCAGGGGTCGCTTGGAGCCGCAGCACCCGCAACAGCCACCTGGGCATTTCCGGCTTTTGCAAACGCCGATCAGAAGCTTGTTGCAGATCCTGGGATTGGCTCTTCCCTCGGTAGACAGAACCTGGCCCTCCTTCTCCAGGGCAGAGACGGGGGTCCTGAGGTACCCAGGAGCTGGTCGTGCGTCTCCCAGCTTTCTCCCATACTTTCCCAGAGCCTCTGAGCTCCCAGCGAGCCCCCTTCCTAGTAATTGTACCAGGGAGCACTGTGTGCATGGCTTGGTGCCCCTGCCAGAGAACAAACCTTAATCTCTGTCCTCTTGGGTAGCTGCCTCTGCCACCATCACACCCTCTGCCCCCGGACAAGAGAATTATGGGGTCCCTGCCTCGCCAGCTGCCCAAGGCCAAGAGGGGCAACGTTCTTAGGGTCGTCACAGAGCTGCCCCCCGCCCTCCTTCCTTGGCAGGAAAAGACAGGGCGAGGAGGAGAAAGACCGTTTATTTCTCCACCCACAGTGGGACTGGTAGGTTTTCAAAAGAGCGATCACTGGCGTCCCTTTAATTCTTGGCTGACATCCACCGTGGCAGCCAATCAACAGAGGCGGAGCTGGTGAGTTGCCTGGGCAACAGGCCCCTGGTTGGTCGAGACCATCAGCCACCCCACTGCCCACTTCCAAGTGAGGGAAATGGACGCTCTGCTCTCCGGTCTGCTTTTGCAGATCCGCTGGCTTAAGCCAGGCCTCCTCGCCTCGCTCCCGAAGCCAGAAGCGCCGGCCTTTGGGTCTCGACATTGGAAACGACTTGGTGGAGAGGATGGGGTGGGAGGAAAGGAGAACAGCGCCTTTATCTGGGACAGACCTAGGCCTGGGGAGGGGAGGGGAGGCGGCGGAGGAGGAGGTCAGGGTCCCAGAGGATGAGGAGACACGAGCACAGATGATACCTCTAGGCCCCCTCTCTCTGGCCGGCCCCTTTGCAGACCCGCTCAGGGCAGAGATGGTGACAGTGACACAGACGGGGTCAGCGGAGCTCCCCAAGAGTCCCCTTCTCCCCCAGGAGCCCCAGCAGGTCCCTACGTGCTTGACCTGAATCCTCCTGCTGGCAGACAAGCTTGTACGGACGGAGGCGACAGACACACACGGGATCCACATGGAGTGTCACAGGGGTCTTCTGTCTCTTCCCCCCCAGACTGGGGGCAAGTAGAGGCACGTGGGTGTGCGTGCATGTGTTCAACAGGACACTGTTTGTGTGAGGGGTGGGAGGGAGGTCGCTGTGGTCTCTGGTGCTCTCCCTGCGACCCTCCCAGAGTCGGAGCTGGCCGGCCTGCCGTCTTCCCATCGTTCCCAGTGGCCACCAGCCAAACGTCCAGAGCGCTTCCGGCTTCTTCCACAGGCTCCTCCCCAGCCCTGAACCTGGGCCACCGGGAGGTCAGACCTGGTGGAGGGAGGCCTGTGCTGGGCCAGGGGCGAAGCAGGAGGGACGGTGGGCAGCCTGGGGCCTCAGGCTTTGGCCGTGGCCTCCGACACGCCCTGGGCGGTGAGCTCGGCCAGCACGTTGTCTAGGTAGCTCGCGTCTGGGTAGCCATGGCCCGTGAGGTTGGATCCGAACTCGGTCTTGTGGTGGATCTCGTTCCACACCACGGTGTCCGACTCGCCCGTGGTGTTGGAGGTGCCGATGGTGAAGATGAGCCTCCGCTCCCAGGCGGTGATGAGCAGTCGCAACACCTGCAGAGCCGGGCGGTGGGCGGGGTCAGAGGCAGCCCCGCCCACAGCCCCCTCCAGCCCCGCCTCCCCTCCCTGCCACACTGTGGCTCCATGAGGCCCCCTGAGCCCAGCAGGAGGCCCTCTGGCTGCTGGGTTTGGCCGGTTCCTTCCCTGGACAGACTCGTTCCAAGTTATCTGCCTGTGTTTTCTGGGGGTGAGGGGAGGGTCTGAAAGCGATGGCCCTCTGCAGCTTGGTTTGGACCCCACACTATGTGACTTCGTTTGCAATTTTTAAAAACGTGCAGATTTTTAAATGCATGAAAAATCAGCATTTCTGGCTTCTCTCGAAAAACAATAAGTAGAAGCAGACACAACACCTATAATGTGGTGGTGAAAAGCCTGGACTGCTTGGGTTCAAATACAGGCTCCACCACTTACTGGCTGTGTGACCTTGGGCAAGTTACTTGCCCTCTCTGAGGCTGTTTCTTTATCCGTAACATGCAGCCTAGACCTTGACCTCAGCAGTGCCTGGCAGGGCTAGACGCACACTAGGTGGTCCCGGCCCCTCTGGTGTGGGGAGGAATGGGAGAGCAAGCCCTGGCCCACAGCCCTGCAGCCTCAGGACACCCACCTTCCGGCCCTTCTCGTTGTTGGGCAGATAGCAGTGGCGCGGGAAGCCTCTGGCGGTGAACTTCTTGCCTGGGTTGGGGTGCTCAGGGCCCTGCGGAAAGGAGCAGCCGGGGCTGGAACCACAGACAGGAGTGGAGGGGGGGCTCTGGAGGGGTTGAAGGAGTTGGGGTCAGGAGTCCGAGGGGGCTCACCTGGATGCCTGTGGGGATGTCATAGACAATGCGGATGGTCTGGGTGTCCGCGAAGCCAGGCAGCGAGTGGGGGATGAGGTGGAACTCCATCTTCCCAGGAGGCTGAGTGCCCGTCTTCTCCCCGTAGATGGCCTTGCAGGTGGGGCACTGCAGGCTGCCGTCCTGCAGCAGGGGAGGCTGGGGTGAGGTCCCCGGAGGCCCCAGCTCCACGGGGCTCCCTCGCCAGCCCCCACGCACGGTCCCCCAGCCCACCTTGTTGCCGTTGGAGTACATGGCCACCAGGCACAGCAGGTGGTACATG